CCGCCTCCCTCCTCCCGCCCGCTCCCCTCCCGCTCCTTAAAGGCAGAGCGCTGGGCTCGGCTCTCCAGGCAGCTCGCGGAGAGGCACAGGAAATGACCTCAGCAGGCTCCAGCCTCCCACCTCTGCGCACCGCTGGGCTCGTCCCTGGGGCTGCGGGGAGGGCTGCGGGGTCCCGGGGCGGAGGGGTCCCCAGGCTGCGACCTGAGCTCTCTGCGGAGGGTCTGGTTGGCTCTCAACTAGCGTGGGACACTCGCAGCATGGGAGATAAGACCAGATCGTCCCCCCGGAGGATGTCCCAGTATTTGTCTGGCCACCTGTAAAAGCTGTTAACGCCAGGATATTTGGAGCAGAAGTCCTTGTTTCAAGGAACCTGTCCCATTGGCCGACCAAAAGTTCACCTTTGTCATTTGAAGGAAATAAAGTGAGGAGCGGAGAGAGTCACCATAGCCCAGAAAGTAACTTGCTTGTTTCTGTTTGTATGTACGTGTTATTTAAAAGGGGCCGGTAGGTGGCGTAGTGGTTAAGGGCGCTGGATTCCCACATGGCTGACAGCTGTTCGAGTTCCGGACCTGGCGGTTTGGTTTCTCACTTTTCCTCTCTCGCTCTGTCTTTCTTGAGTCAAATTTAAATAAATAAATAAAGCCTTTAATAAAATGACAGCCATGGCACCAGCAGTTAGCGTAATGGCTATGTTGCCGGACACCCATGTAGTCGACCGTGTGTAGTTGACCGCGGTTCGAGTCCCGGATCCGATGGCTTAAACTTACGCCCGGTGCGTGTGCGTGTGTGCCCAAGATCTCGAGAGGAGAATGGAGGAGAAGGGATTGTGGCGTGGCTATCCCCCGGGTGGCGGGGGAGGGGGAGGCGGTGTGTGTGTGTGTGTGTGTGTGTGTGTGTGTGATTTCTTGCTTTCTGTCTCCCTCTGTCTTAACGGTGAGCGCAAGTGCTCTGTAGCAAAAACCTCTCAAAAAAAAAAAAAAAAAAAAAAAAAAAAAAGGCAGCCAGAAAGGCCAACAGGACACTGCTGGGTAACTTCAGGCTGCCCTTCTGCCTCATACATTTCCAAGCCCCTCGTTCACCCAATGTACTCCCACATACAAAGAGGATAGCACCATAGGGCTAGGTGGGGATAAAGAAGATGCAAATTGGGTGTGCTGAGCTTTCTTTTCCTGAATGGAAACACTAGGGCCTGTTTCTCCAATGGGTATTGGAAGACACTGCACACAATCCCCTGCCCCACATCACCACCACCTGTTTGAATCTGAATCTGGGGTTGGGGCCTGTCTATCTAACAAGTCCCCAGCAGGTGTTCCTGGAAAACTAAGGAAAGGTGGTCCCTTTTGCACAGGAGGCCAAGGGTGAAAGTTAAACTGGACTAGTGAGACTCCAAGGTTTTACCAATGGCTGTATAGCCTGCAGAGACTAGGATTGATTTAGCCCCATTCTGTGGGACACTGGCCTCTGCTACCCCCTTCAATACTCCAGAAGTTACCTAAGGAAGTCCAAAATCAAGTCTCCTGGATTTCACTAAGGGACAGCTGTTCATTCACTGACTTTTTTTGTTTGTTTGTTATATCAATTTACATTCATATGTAATGACAAACTTCTTTCTTTTTTAAAAAATTATTTTATATAACTTTATTTATTTTAATTCATCCAGAGAGGGATAGAGAGAGACAGAGAGAGAGAGAAAGTGAGAAAACAAGCCACCAGGTCCAGGACTTGAACCATGGTTGCCATGTGGGAGTCCAGCGCCCTTAACCACCATGCCACCTGCCAGCCCCCATTCATTGACTTTGAATAGGTAATCATACACATAGTATACACTTCAAATCAAAGAGAAGGGCAAAGTCTTCCTCCTATCCTGCCCCTTGTCTCTCAGGTCACCCCAAACACAACTGCTGTTGTAAGATAACTATTGTGGGGAACCAGCAGTTACCATAATGGCTATGTCGCTGGACTCCCACGTAGTCAACCGCAGTTTGCGTCCCGGACCCGGTGGCTTAAAACTCACGCCGGGCGCGTGTGCGTGCGTGCCCAAGATCCCGAGAGGAGAATGGAGGAGAAGGGATTGCGGCGTGACCATCCCCCCTGGGGGGTGATTTCTCGCTTTCTGTCTCTATGTCTCTCTCTGTCTGTCTGGCGAGCGCACGCGCCCTACAGTGAAAATCTCTCCAAAAAAAA